GTCAAAATGTAGAGAATTGAAAGTAGAATATTTTTCCTAATCACACCTAAGTGTAATTCTCAACAAGATTGCTTCAAAATTGAAAACAAGAATACCTACCTTGCAAGCTTGGAGATGTCGGTCTTGGATGAAGAAGAAGCTGAAATTGCTCTTCCATTATTGATATTTTATGATATAATAGTCTAACACATTCTTAATAATATATCATAATGGAATTTTTTTATTCAACACCATATGAAATTCCATTTTTGCCCTTAATGAATCTCCATAATCACCCTAAAGCCAAGCCATCTGATCATTATCATATTACAAAGTCACACATGTATTATTTTGACTTTTATTTCCGAAATTCACCTTGAATTTTCAAAATTTGTGTTTTAGTCACTAAATTCCACTATTTCGATTAAATATGAAAAATTGCATATTTCCAAACCAAATTTATCTGATCCAAATATTAAATAATATTTCTAACCATATTATAACATCCTTCAAATTTCGTAAAATTCCAACTCGATCTGAAATACCGATTTCTTAACGGCTTTGTCCCTTTTAATTTTTCTTTACCAAAATTCCAAATCCAAAAATATGATTTCTATAAAAACTTCATTCTCAAGAGTAAACCATCTATTTATGGAATAAAATTCTTTTTAGGAAATTATCACTTAATTCCCTAAACTTTTTCCAAAATTTCTACTTTGACCATAAAACTTTCCAAATTTTCATTTTGGTCATTATCTAAATTTTTGGGGTATTATACGGATAATACCCTTTGGGCTAAGACCGCAGTTGATTTTTATCTACATGAGCGGAGCAAGGGAATTTATTAGGGGTGTTATTCTGACATATGCAAACTCGACGATATTATTCATTTGTTTCTTGATCGGTCTTGGTGGGGTATTTTATTAGGGGTTGAAGATAATGGCTATCTCGAAGGGGCGGTAAGTCTTATATTCTTCTTATATTGCATTTTGATTAATTTTTTAAAATTTATTAATAAATTCACTAATATATGTATTTTTTTATAAAACAACATATTGTTTCAAATTCGCAACGCGAAAGTCAAATTCGCGTTGCGATTTTCGATTTGCGATTTCGCATTTCGAATTTGACTTTCGCAACAATCACAACGCGACAATCGCGTTGCGAATTTGACTATCGCAATGCGAATTTGACTTTCACGTTGCAAATTCAAGGAAAACACCTTCAAAAAGATAACAGACAACAATCTGATAAGTGATAAGAACTGGACAAATCATAGCAATGTTCAAACTCAAGTTACTAATGATTGTCTAACTGAAAATGTATGCATTCACACATAAAATACACATAATACAACGTTTGCATTTAAAAATCACATAAGTTAATAAGTCCCAAAAGGTGAAGCCGGTTGTGATTGAGATTTTGATTTTGATTTCCTTTTGTTTGGCACCATATGAGCTTTGGATTTTGATGAGGATCCATATTTTGGTAGAGGAAAATATGATTGTGATGGCACTGGTGATCCACAGGTCAACCTTGTATGACCACTTTCCTTGCACCAACTACATGTCGATATCCTCTTCTCTTCACCCTTAGACGGTATACGATCGTGATTTTTTGGTCGGCCAGGTAGCCTGCTATCCATGACTGGTGGCAAAACTGTTTGTAAGTCATCTGGTATGTCACACTCAGAAGGATGTGGAATAGGGTAGACAATCTCGGCATAAGTCTGTCGATATACTTCTGTAGTGTAGCAATCCATAGCGTATGCGCTTGAATCATCTTGGTTTAAATGAAGAGCAACTTTTATAACATGGCCACACGGATAACCAGATGTTTGTCATTTCATACAACTACACATCTTGCATTTAGATCGACAGCCCATTTAGTTATTATAATACTTCAAACAAGTGTTTGAACATGTTTCAACTCTCCATGATGTTGACTTCACAACACGTTTCGTATCTTTTTTTTCAGTCCATGGTGTAACACGACGTTCCAATTTTCCTGTAAATTTAAATAAATAATACTTGTAAAATATATGATAAGTTATGAATTTAAAGAAATAATACATGCATGGTTTCTTTTCTTGTAGTACCACTGTTGAATAGAGGCTCGAAAAAACTCAATTAACATAGTAATGGGTAATTTCCGGGAATGACGACTTAGAGCGTTGATTGATTCTGCAATATTAGACGTCATAAAACCATATCTTGCTCCAAGTTGATGTACTATTGACCATCTTTCAAACCCGAACATCTTCTAGTGTTTGAGCACATTGAGGCAAAACACGTCTTAAACAATTTATATGCTTATTAAAATCCACTTCCCGATAAACTTTTACAGCCTTCCAGTATGTCCATTTGTGATTTTTTATAGCAGTAGACTTTGATTTTAGATTTCTGTACAAATGAACACCACAAAGTCCATGAAAAACATATGGGAAACACCTTCTAATAGAATTGTCAATTGAGTTTGTCCTATCAGATATGATTGTCAGATTGCTAATAGGACCTATGCAATCCCTAAGATGCCCCATAAACAATGTCCATGAATCAGAGGTTTCAGATTTGCCAACCCCATAAGCTATTGGCAGTATCCCAAGGTATCGACCTTTCAAATGTGCTCCGTCAACTATAATAACTAGGCGCATGCAAGTAATAAACGAACGAATCTACAAAAATAATATACACAAGACATATAATCATTTAAATGTGAAATGCATGTAACTAACAAAAATGAGTCAACAAAATTATATTGATTTACTAATCGCAGCACCAATGGCGATAAACAACAACTCAAAGCATCCATTTCTATCTGTTTTGATATGAGTTACCGACCCAAGATTTTTCATCTTTAAATTGTGACAATAAGCCGACAGTTGGGCAAACGATGCTTCTAGAGACCCCCTCAACAATTCCAAGACATAACATTTAGCTCTCCAAGCTTGAGAATATGAGATACTAATCTTGAACCGAGCATTCATGTCAGTCATAATTTCATGTCCTCGATATACTCTGCCATTCAAAAACATTAACTCAGCCAGAAAGCTACCCAACACCTTTTTGTTTGTCTGTCTATGGTGAGGAAAAACTTGGGTTCTTGAAAATGTATATTTATCAATAAAAGTCCTAACTTGAAACATTTCGCAATCTTTTATCCTCTTTGCAATCATATGCCACATACAATTTTTGTCAATCATACACTTTGTTTCGAAATGATATTTGCTTGATTTGTTAACTTTTAGTTGATAGCCATCTTCCACACATTTCGTATACAAAGCTATCTTCAAGTCTTCCTTTGTATCAAAACAATCATCTTTCTTGATACGAATAACTTTTGTATAACAATCAACTGCTATCTTTACCAACTCTTCTTCCGGTATCTGAAGTAATTCTGGCATATTCCAGTTATACTCATGTGGCATTTTCTTCTTTTTCTTTTCTTCAGAGACTTCTTCTTATTCTTTTTCTTCTTCAGGGTTATATGAATTACAGAATTGATTTTCAACATGTTCATTCACAGTCGTAACTTCCTCCTCATTATCATCAACAACATCTTCCTCGGCAGCGGCTGTTTCATCATCAAAATTCGGGTATTGACCAATATCAAAATCATTACACGCAGGGTCTGTTTCTTCTTCTGAAACATCATCAAAATCCGAGTATTGACCAAGATCAAAGTCCGGGTATCGACCAAGATCAAATTTCGAATACTGACTAGTACTCACAATTTTTTCTGTTAGCTCATAATCGTCTAACTGGTCAATACGAAAATCAGAATTTGGTGCTGAAAGTTGATTGGGATTTGTATTAAGAAAATGTTGTGGGTTTTGAGATTGTGTTTGGTATTGGAAATTTGGTGAAACAAAATTTTCTTGATGATGAAATTGTGGTGGAACCATTAAATTTTGAGGTTGATAACAACGTTGTACATTGTGAGCACCATAAACTGGGATTGAAGAACTTAGTTGATTACTAGCCGCTACTGACCCAACTTCACTACTTCAAGGTTCAACAACATACAATGTAACATCATCTTCTTGCGAAACACTAATGTAAGCAATGAATCGTTCAACATCTTCATTGTCGGTTAACAAATAAATTTTACATTTTCTCTGATAAGATAACTTAAATCCACTTAGAGGCTCTAAATTCAATTTCTTTACAACACGTAACATTAGAGTTTCATAAGTTAACTTTTTTAATGACAGTTTTAGTTGAAGAATCATGGGTAAAGACACATATTGTAAAACACCATGAACATTCTCTCATAATCCTCCAAAACACAAATCTATCCAAACATGATCAACATTAGATAATTTCATTCTATAAATTGTAAATTGATTTACTAAACAAACGAGCTATAAACTACATATCATCACTAACTTAGAGAAAAACATACATTTTTTAAGTTGATAGTTGATTATTTGGGAGAGAAAATCATTGAAAAATTATATATAAATAAAATTATGTAAAAAAAATTAGAGATGGAGAATGATGTTGTTGGATATAGGAACGGATGTCGCCGGATAAAGTGATAGATGAAGATGGATTGAATTGCGATTTAGGAATTTAGGTTATGAGTTGCTTATGCTTCGTAGTTATATACCAAAAAGATTTGTGTCGCGAAACTAAAACCTGTTACGAAATTAAATTTGTGTTGCGAATTCGAAAATCGAGTTACGAATTTGAAATTCAATGTTGTGAATTTGACTTCTTTGTTGCGATTTTCTAAATTCGTGTTGCGATTCACATATTCGCGTTGTAAATTTGGAAACTGAGTTGCGAAATTAGAGTTCACGTTGCGAATTTGTTGGTCATTTTCACAAATCCAAAAAAAAATTAATTAAAATAGTATATTATAAGACATTTTCGGTCACTGAGATTATTTTCTCTTAATATAATTCCTAAAAGTTTGTAATTCCAACGTCTATCCCTCAATTATCAACTAAAATTTCAACATTTCAATGAGAGTTTGAATGTTATTTGATAAATTATTTTATATCATCAATAAATATATGATATTGAACCTTTTTAGACAATTACAAACGCGTAAAATAGGGAATCTACACTACACCTACTACACCGACTTGTGAAGATGATGAAGGATGTAGAGAGAAGCAGAAGGAGGAAGATACAAACAGAATAAGTAAGCAGATCCATGCCAGTGTTGATTGACACCATTTTGCTTCTTTCAAACATCTTCACTAAAAGAATCATCACTATCACATGCCCCACCTTCGTCTTCAGTTCATCCAGTGAACTTATTTTCATCCATTTTGGCCTCTCCTGCATTGCATCCACAACAATTCATTTAACCAGTTAGACACTGTTTGTAGCCTGCAATGTATCTAAATGGGCATTTCGAGTAGGCCAATTCCAGATAATGCGAAAAATCGAGCTGTGGTCTAACCGGATTCATGGACAAATCTAATCGAGCTGTGGTCCTAATCGATATAGAGAAGACTATTACCTTCATGGCGAACATTCCCAGCAAGGATGAGCCTTTAAGGGCACGATCGACGTCGGCTGGCAATTCTGGGTTCAAGTTACTGAAATAATCCATACAATCCCATACGAAGATTAACATCACAGTCCCAGCAAGATAAACATCTGCAACATTATACACACTGATTCAAATATCACCTCATTTGCAGCTATTCCCATTTGCCACATCTCTGATAGTATCAAAACTTTTTATTTATGTCAATAGTGTTGGAGAAGTTACCAATAGCTTCAACCAACCGTAGGACCATATTCCCAGTGTGAATCCCTTTAACACAGCTTGTCCAATAGACCTTGTAAGCTTCAGCAATATACACACAACCCAGCAAACGCTCATTAATAAGTACGCGAAAATCATTACAAAGAGGTAATCTTTGATTCCCATGAAAATATAAACAATAAAAAAAAGGTGGGAATTAGATAGTACATTTAGAAAGCATAACAATGAACCGGCCAACGAACCTCCAACGGCGAAAAGAGCCAAGAAACGGAAGTCAAAAATTGTCTGCACCAACACGAATTAGCGTAAGCTTGGGGTGGGGGAGAATTGAGGATATGGATAAACACCGAAACTCAATTAATACCTTTTCAATGTAGGACTCCGTTGAACTAGCAAGACCGAGTAACGATTTACCATTAGGATTGGCTAAGGCATAGTTTAAGCTGCCTGGATCAGTGGGTCTTGACGATTCCACTAAGTGATTTGGGGGCTGATGAGTTTTAGATGACAAAACATTTTCACCGGTTGAATGAGGAGTTGCGGGTTGAGGGGAAGAGGAGCTTGAAGTAGGGAAACAACGACTATGACGACGGTGGTGGTGGTGGAAAGCGGTGGGTGAAGGGCGGCGCGTGAGGGTGGAGATGGCGAGTGGATTAGTAAAGACTGAAGCAGAAGGCAGAGCCCTTGAGGAGGATAAGGACAGATTTTTGCTAGAAGATATCATTGTGGGGTTAATTTGTTTATTAATTGACGGTAATGGAAATCAGATAAGTAAGAATCTTTGTTTTGTTTTGTTTTTTTAGGAAAAGTAATTCAATGATTTCGCATTATTTTCTAGGGTAAATTATAAATCTTTATCACTAAATTTTACTCTCTCATATTGTTTCATTGAACTTTAAATTTTTTTAATTTTCTCCTTGAACTAAATACATTGGATTTTTTCCGTCATTGAACTTCACTCTATCTCCTATTTCGGTCACTCCATAATTTAAATAGTTTATGGTGTTTAAAATAATGCCATTTTTAAAAAAACATCAAAATGATATTGTTTTGTATATATATAATTGACCATTTTAACGTAACTATTTAATGGTTGAGTGACCAAAAAATGCAATGTAAATTTCGATGAGAAAATTGAAATATTTTAAGTACATTGAGAGAAATAGAAGAGATAGTAAAATTCAGTTATTAAATTTATAAGTATGAAGTATAAAATTAGATAAACTATGAGGTGAATACAATGACAGTAAAATTATAGAACAAACAAAGATTTTTTTATAAATATGAGGTAAATATAAGATAATATTAATTCAAAGATTCTCAATCAATTGATAATAAACACTCATACTCCTGTTGGTGCTTAAATTCAAGACTTCGAGAGAGAATAAAAAGTCTCTTAAATACTAAAATCACTTGGTTATTGCGTGAAATTAATGATGATGAAATATAAAAATATTAAATAAATATACAATCTAAATATAAGACATGAACTAATAATATTATTTAACATGATGGATTTAATAACAAAATTAGACTGATATTTCAAAATTGAAGAATAATAAAAATAAAAATGAATAAAATAAAGTACAATAACTAATTCCGTAACACAATATATTAATAAAATTAAAATTTTACACGGTGACGGATCCATAAATATCGTTTATATATTGACGGATTCGTAAATATTTTTTAGAAGGAGTACATGTATGTTATTAATATAAATTTTTTAAATAAGATTGATACAATTTTTTTTAAAGGTGAACACGGTTTATAATAACTAATAGAAGAAAATTTAGATTTTAGAGTAAATATGTGCCCATCTTCACCGAGTTGTGATCCGCCACTGCGTTTACATCTCCATCCACGAACACAACTCTTTAGACTCTTGACTCACTTGCTACACCCACTTCTAAGACGATAATATAATGGTGTTCCTTGTTCTCATATGTAATAGGGTAAGGGAGAGGTAAGATAGTAGACTGCCCCCAACACCATGTTGAGAGCAACATCCGTAAAAGACTTCCGAATTATGAAATGCCTTCCGTGGGACTCGATCTCACAATCTCAAGATTAAGAACCTTGTGCTCTACCAACTGAGCTGGATAGTCATCTCACTTCTAAGACGATAACTTGAGCCAAATACAAATGTTATCTTCTTTTGTTTTGTATTTTTGTCTTGTCCCCCTTATAATTGAGACAAATTGCTGCAGATTTTCATTTGCAATTAATTTTCTTTATTGTTATCAAACATTTTTTTTAAATCACATTGTAAATTATTGTAATTTAAATTTGAGGTTCTAAACATCTTAAAATCATAATGGATGAATGATACATATAACAAAAATATTTAAATTAAAAATAAACTCAACTTATTTGTTTGAACAAAAAAATTATAACAAAGTTCTGAATCTTATTTCTTTGTTATTTTTCTCTCTAAATCTACCGAAATTACATGTGTAAAATTAAAAGTATATCAATAATATATAATCTAAAAATTCAAAATAAAACTAGAGATATAATATTACTTAAATAAAAAATAAAATACTAAATTTAATTAACTTACTATATTTTCACCTATTTTTCTTGCTCTTCCTTCTTATTTTTTAGTCTAGTTTTTTTCACCTATTTAACACAAAATATCATCACTCTCAAAAAAAAATTCCGTTATCTACCCCTATCATTTACCTATACACAATATAATTTATTTTTTAGAAAAATTATTAATACCCCTATCCTATAAATATATACCATTCTATTACATTTCCCAAAATCTCATGCACTGTACAGCTGCCCCGCCAGGTTCAATTCAAAACAATGCTGCAATTTGCAGTAATATATTTTAATTTTAAAATATTAAAAACAGTAAAGACGACCGGAAACGATATCGCTTTAATTATTTTAATTAAAAATTTGAGTTGAAAACCTAAAAGGAGGATCGAATATGATGATTTTACAATTACCGCAGAGTAATTGGTCTTATGCATCTCTTGGTAAAGCAGCGTCATACCTTCAAACAAATTTCAGTTCATGACTTCAAGTTCGAGTTGAGTTTGAAAATTTTAGGTTCATGAGTTTTTGAATCGAGTCGAGTTCGGCAATATCCGAGCTCGACTCGACTCGTTTACAACCCTATTCCTACCTTCAAATGTTCTCATGTATCGATAATGAAAGATAAAACAAGATTGACACATGGTATTTTATGACTAATGATGTCTTCACATTAAACACTTCGAAATCTCATAATAACAACGATTCATTAACCATCGAGATCGTTTAATTCAAAGTATTCACTTTTAAGAGATTTTCTCATGCTTAAATTCTACTATTCCTCCAAATATTTATATAATAAATAAGTAAAATAAGAATGATATCTTCAAATATATACGGCTTTGCTTATATTGCATGAATTCTCCTAAAATAGCCTCAACGGGTGCGTCTAAACGACACAGTTTAACTAAGCTAATACCAAAATAACAAAAGATCTATATATTGTCCACACCGTAACGTCTTCGTCGCCATAACTTCTCTCCCTAAGGAACAAAAAAAAAAACTTCCACTTCCTTTAAATTTTGCTGGAAAAAAGGAAGCAAAGGGGAAAAGAAGATTTTTTCCGGCGAATGAAGGTTTGATCTTTTTGCCATAAACGGAACTTCATGGAGGTTAGTGTAATTCTTCGTGAGTTTCTCTCGTTTTCGTGTATGACTGTATCTTGTTTGGTTGGTTAGAAAATTGATGACAATTCATTTTTTTCCTATTTCATTAGAAATGTCTTGAGTTTTTTTTTAATTATTTAAGGCCTCATTTATAATTAGGATACTATCTAATGTTAATTAGTATAGCATTCTGCCATTATTATGCCGTTTAATATCTTCCTTTTTCGTAATATAATATAATATAATAATACTGCCATCTCTTCTCTGCTTCTTATCAATTATATTTATATTTTTATATATTACGTAATATTAATAAGTTTTTTATTATATATGTTTATGGATTTGTTGCAGACTATTTACGGATCTGTCTCATTTCATTTCATTGTGCGTGTATGATCATATGCTAATTAGAAGATTTAGAAAGTTTACAAAATTTAGCTCGTGCTCAGGCTTCCACAATTTGAATTTTACAATTTTGTATGTTTGCATGGCAGCATGTGTCTGGGAATTTTGTTTTTGATTTAGCCATGTTTTCTCGGTGAAAATGCGTGTAACAGTGGGGAATAGAATACATTGTTGTCCCGATTTTTCATATTCGGACATGGATTTAAGAATACAGTCCTCCAAATACATAAAAGAATTTTGAAGAATTGAACATGAACACATTTCTGTATCCAACATTCACATCAAAGTACAAGTAATATAAATAGAACATGCTTGATCAGTTTTGAGGTTCACATGGTTTTTTTTTTTTCCTATTTATCAGATCCGATCAGTGAAAGTGAGTAACGTTTCCTTGGATGCATCCGAGAACGATATTAGAGAGTTCTTTATCTTCTCCGGTGAAATCGAATACATTGAAATGCACCGGTTAGTTGTTACCATATAAGGTGTTTGAATTTCACTGTCCCTTTTTTATTTGCATGCTCTTCTCCACCGTAATAGATGCAAAGAAAAAAGGTGGGAAATTGTTGGAATTACTTCTCATGCCTTCCGATTCATGTAGTTGTTCCAGTACAGCGATGTTTTGAATTCTTCTGAACACTTTCTTCTGTAGGTTTCTCACTGCTTTTGCTTCGTTTTCTTTTTTCTTTTCTTTCAGTGATGATGAGCGATCACAAATTGCATACATTACTTACAAGGATCCACAGGGAGCAGAAACTGCAGTTCTTCTTTCAGTATGAACCTGTCTCATTTCTTATGTCTTATGTGCTTGTGAAAGCCACACACTGTAATGCATTGCCTGTGGAAAGATCATACCCTCATAGTCCATGCCCATGTTTGAATGTGTAGGACATAGAAAATGAAGGGTCCAAGTAGCATAGGTTTGAAGTATTTTATAGTAATTGTTTTAACTGAAACTTGATGTCAAGGAACTGACCAAATCTAGTTCCACATTTCAATGCTGTTAAAAAGCCTTTTGACTGATGTGTGATTAATTTTTGAACAGTTTATTTGATTTCACAAACCATTCAGCATCATGCGGTAAAACAGCAGTACATGGTTTTCATTCCAATCTTAAAGTTGATTGATTGAACAGTGAAATTTTCATTCTGGTCGTATTAATTCGAAGTACATGGTTTTCTTCAGGGGGCAACAATTGTGGATAAGTTTGTTAGCATAGAGCTGGCTACTGATTACAAGCCGCCTGCTAATGCTTTCACGACACCGGTAGGACACTACTTTAATCCGCTTTGGTTTCTCTTACTAATTAATGATCTTTGACGTGAAATAATTGTTTGATCACTTTAGGCAACAGGGGATAGTGGCCAGGCAGAAGCAGTTTACACGAAGGCAGAGGATGTGGTTAGCACCATGCTAGCCAAGGGATTCATAATGGGCAAAGATGCATTGAACAAAGCAAAGGCCTTCGACGAGAAGCATCAAGTCACTTCGACCGCCTCTGTGAAGATCGCTTCCCTGGATCAGAAGATCGGTTTTTCCGAGAAAATCAGTGCAGGCAGCATCGTGGTTAATGAAAAAATGAGGGAGGTGGACCAGAAGTATCAGGTTTCCGAGAAGTCGAAGACCGCATTGGCAGCTGCCGAGCAGTCCATCAGCACCGCCAAATCTTCCCTCATGAAGAACCGTTATGCTTTGGCTGGAGCCGCGTGGTTCACTGCTGCATACAAAAGGGTTGCCAAAGCAGCTGAAGATGTGGGACAGAAGACAAGAGAGAAGGTTTTGGCCGAGGAACAAGCTCAGAATCCAGAGGACCCAGCACATGGACGTGTTTAGCACTCCCAGAGCAGGTCCTGACGCCAGCGAAGAACCTTCCGATCCCTCACCCGAACCAGGTTTACTCCTCGACGGTGGAAGAAAATAGAAGGATAGCTCATTGCTGTACTCGGTAAGAAAGATAAAAGATGGGAAGTATTTATTTTCATCAATTGTTCAATCAAGTTTAAAAGAGCGAAAGAATACATACTCTTAATAAACACGTATGGTTTGTTTTATGCATTAAAATGAAAAAGTATTTTTCTCTCTCGTTTTTCTTTCTTAAATACATTCAACTCCCTCCTTTTTTTTTTCACAATGTATAATAAAATGCACAATAGTTTGTCACATATTCTTTAGATATTCTTAATAGAGTTCTCAACATGACAATCTTATCGTACAAATTTTCTAAACTAAAATTGAGTTGAATTTAGATAAAAAAAATGTCTCTAACTTAGATCTAGATAAATGATAAATAAAATGTATTATACTGGAGTAAGATTCTGATAAACTAAAAATTTAATTTGACCCAATCTATAATTATCCCTAATCATGATGACGAATACGACGGTGTAACAATGCTCCGAGTGAAATTTTTCCAAACCGGTCACGTTAGTCACTAGACTTCAATCAAGAGCCTTTAAGGAACCTCTTTGGTTTGTGATAGGGGATAAATCAGAATTTTGCTTTAGCAGTCAAAATATAACCGCAATTCTTGAGGGTTAAGGTATAAACTTCTCACTAAAAATTACTTCAATAGATGTATAGAACTTTTAGAGGGATCATAAGAACAATATAACCATTTGAATCAAGTTTGTGTCCGGTTATTTATGTGATACTGATTTGGTTGTAAATATGGGATATAATTATAAAGAAGTTTAAATATTAATTCACTATATTATTTAAATTTATACTACATTTAACTGATCATAAGATTTTTAAAATAGTACAATTCGGATTGAAACCTAATCAGCCCATAAATTAATAAATAAAAACTATTTAAATATACATAACGATATTATTTTAAAATTATTATTTCTCTCAAACTTCTTTAGCAGGAAGGCAAATAGATTATAATAACTCCAAAGGAAATTAAAGAAGGTAAGGTTTAAATTCTAATAGCACCTTTTGCTTCGAACTTTTAAAAAATTAGTTTATTCCTTTAGAAGTATTTGGTAAAATTTAGCTGATAGCTAATATGAGTAAAATGACAAATAAGAGTATGATACATTTAGTTGTTAAGTATATATATATATTTTATAATACTTTAGTCTTTATTGGGGTGAAATTATTCAGATAAAATGCTTTTGACAAAGAATTATTCATTAAAAAATTAGTGATTATTTTTATATTTTTAAAAATTTTGAATATATATTTTTAATATTTACAAATATTAACCTTGTGAGATTGATACATACTATTAACTTTATATAAAATATTAACACTAAATTTTTTTACTTTCATGTTTTGCTATATTTTCTTAACTAAAATATATTTGAGAATCTACAACTAAAAATTAGAATAATAAAATAAAATTTATTCAGGAGAGAAGCAGATTATAATGGAAGCTATTTCATTATATTAGGTTTTATGGTAAAAATGTAATTATGTAAATAATAAGGTCAAATATATCATTTAACATCTTGTTTTGCAATCAACGTTTCCAAATCATTGGATTTTTCAGCGTTTTCATTTTCAGTTTATTTTGTACAATCAACTCTTTCAAAAAGATATTTATCAAACATTAAAAATAAAGGGTTTAACTACCAATCATCTATTCATGCTCAAATAAGCTAAAATCTTTTCAAAAATATTGTCAAATTATTTAAAATAAAGTATAAAAATTAGACAAGTATGCACGAATCAACTTACCTCAGTGGTTAAATGAATTGTTGTTATTCCTAGAAGTCACAGGTTCGAGAATCAACGACTGCAGCAGGATGATTGAACGTTTAATGTTAAATGATTAAGAGTCTTTAAAACGCATGCTATCATTTGTAATCACATTAATTTAATAAAAAAAATTAGAAAAATATGAAATATAAGCTGATTTATAATATTTCATATTTTTCTAATTTTTATACTTTTTTTTAATAATTTAATACTATTTTTAAAAAAAATAATATTTTATAGTTTTAAATATTTAAATATGATTTATTATTTAGTTTTTTCAATAAAAATAAAATAATTTATACTAAAATTGATAAAATAATTAATATAGCCTAATAATTTAATTTAACAACAATTAAAATTTTAGCAGTTAGAAAAGATCAAACTTGCTTTACTCGGTCCTTACGCTTGCTTTGCTTTGCCGTCTTCTCCTTTTCTTTTTATCTCAATTGAATTTCAAAGATAAAGTAATTACCCTCTCTTTTTTTCCTTCCTTTTTTTTCTTTATATTTCATCAAATCTCGGTGGGTTTTGCTTTCTCATTTACCTGATCTCATCTATTTCGCCTCAATCATAACTGTAAGCAAAGTTTGTTTGTTATGATTCTTGTTCTTTTTTCCTGATTTTGATATTGAATTATGTAGGATCTAGGTATAGCTGACCCAGTTGACTTTATGAACTTGATTTTTTGTTTTAAAAAATAATTTCTGCCCTGCATTTAGTAGTTAAGTATTATCCCTTTCGAAGCTTTTCCATGTTTAACTTGTCCATCTATGCTGCTACAATGGATGAGTAATTGGTATTTGGTTTTAGTTATTTGAGCCATTAGATTTGAATTAGGTAGTTTTTTTTCTTTTGTTTTCTTTAGTCAGCTACTTGATCGAAGTTTTGGAGGTCTTGAAGTTGATTTTTTTATAATGTGAGTTGTTTTTGACTATTTGGATATAAGGTTTTTGCTTTTTAGGGCTTTGAAATCTTGATGCTATTAAAAAAATTCAAGATAATTTGTTAGATCTGCGAGAAGTTATGTGGATACATCCTAGGAAAGAAAGTGAAAGAAGAAGAACCCCCCCCCCCCGGATATTTAGTTTTCTAATTAAGCATGATGGGGCAATTCATAATTTTTTCTGTTTGATTATAATGCTGTTAGGCATTTGGGAGTTTATGTTTTCATGGAAGATTTACTTAAATGAAATTTTATATTAGAAATTCTGCCTTCAAGGTAGATGCATCTAGGCATTAATTCATGCATACATTTGATCAAAGATGTAATTTTGGTGTTTTTAAGGTTTGGTGAAAATGGAAAGAGAGTTGATGGATAAAGTTAATGCTTTTGGTGAACGCCTCATGGTTGAAGGAGCTGAGTTGGGCAGAAAGATGAGTGCTGGCATGAGCTCAGTGAGCTTTAAGGTGAAGGAGCTCTTCCAAGGCCCGAATCCAACTGACAAGCTTGTTGACGATGCTACCTCTGAGGCCCTTGATGAGCCTGATTGGGCCTTGAATCTTGATATATGTGACATGGTCAATCACGAAAAAGTGAACAGCGTCGAATTGATCCGCGGAATTAAGCGGAGGATAATGTTGAAGAGCCCAAGGGTACAATACTTGTCCTTGGTCTTGCTTGAAACTTTTGTCAAGAACTTTGAGAAGGCATTCTCAGAGGTGGCAGCTGAGAGGGTTCTTGATGAGATGGTTAAGCTAATTGATGATCCTCAAACTGTTGTCAATAATCGGAACAAAGCTTTAATGCTTATTGAAGCGTGGGGGGAGTCAACAAGTGAGCTCCGCTATTTACCTATATACGAGGAAACTTTCAAGGTAACATCATAAATTATTTATCTAGTTCTTTGCAGCTGGTGGAAGTGAGTTGAGTAAATATTTTTTTGATAGAAAATATATGGAGGCCTCATTAAAAAAACCCCTTCATAACCTTCATGTTACAGCAGTAACCTGAAGGACATTGGAAGGAGGAAAAGTGTGCCTCTGAAATTTATTAATAGAACATTATTACATAACCTGTTCCAAACACCCTCTACCCACAACATACAGCTAGAAACATAACAAAAACACCCATAGTAAATATGATTATTTAATTTCATTCTCTATGTTTCCTGAGGTGTGTATCTGAGTGGAAGTCATGTGTGAAGTTTATTCCTTTGACTGCTATTAAGCCTTGGGGTTGTTGTTATTTTGAGTATTTAGTCTATAAACTTCATTAAAACATGGACTTGGAATTTTTTTATTCCGTGAAAGAAACATATATTTTATTGTTTATTTTGTTAGTTTATTAGAAGATGATCAATTCAGAAAACCCTTGAATGAGCTTTGTCAAACAGTTACTTGACTGGTAATGTTTCTGTGCATCAATGTCTCTTGACCTCTGTGTGCTTAGGGTTACATTATGATTTAATATACAGTGCACTGTGCTACGAAAGATAAAGCCTTGTGGCTTGTCGATTAATTTTTTTTGAGATTTTCTCCAATGTTCTTTCCCCCTTTCCCTTAGAGTTTAAAATCAAGGGGTATCCGCTTTCCTGGCCGTGACAATGAGAGTTTGGCACCTATTTTTACCCCTGCTCGTTCAGTTTCGGTGCCAGAGGTGGATGCCAGTCTTGCACAGCAGCTTCAGCATGATGTGCAGCTTCAGCATGACGTTCCTGTTCAAAGGTTTTCTGCTGAACAAACGAAGGAAGCATTTGATGTCGCAAGAAACTGCATTGAGCTTCTTTCGACAGTGTTATCCTCATCGTCCCAGCAAGATGCTCTTCAGGTATTATTGTCTTCTTTATTACATTTTTTAGTACCACTTGCTAACTTCATGTACCAATAAATTATGTTTCCTCTCTGAAAAGATTTGTCTTGGAAGAATGAGTCATTTGTATGTTTTCTCAATCATCACTTTGTTTAATAATTTTCAGTATCATGTTGGGTGTAGTGGGCCTTTAATGTGCAAAAGATCATTTTATCAGTCAATGATTTTGCCTTTTTCCTGTTTTCAAGGAGGAAATCACTTTCTTTAAGTTCTCTTAAATCTTCTGTTTTCCATTTATGATCTGTATTAGACAGTCGTGCTTAAGGTTTGTAACCTAATGCATGTGAACTTTCCTCAATAATAAATATTGGTGAGAATTCTGATGTCCCCAACAGTATCGGGCTTTTACTTCAAAGGTTGAAGGGGATGTTGTGGACTTGTTCTGCGTGCTATGCAACTGGTAAATTAGAAGTTATACTTTGTGATAAGGTGACATATCAGTAAATTAGATATAAACTTGGTTTATTTGCTGATTGTTGATTGCAAGTTAAGTTGGATTA